CAGCTGAAGGCAGGGTAGCGTTACTGGGCGTTGTGCTCACGTTTGCCATCCTAATTACCAGGTTGTTACTGGCCTATTTCTCCACAACTATCCTCGTTTGATATCAACAAAGCTGATCGATCGCAACTGTAAAGAATAATCGTGTGGCAACCTATTTGCGCGCGGATAATTATAAAGGTTGTGAAAACTTCTGTTCGCCGGCATGTCAAACAATTTGGGATTAAAATTAAATCGCATGCTAACTTCCATCTGCCGGATGGACGCTGCGATTAAGATTAGATGTGCTCTGCGTATCGTTTGAATACTAAATCTTCTCCATTAACTTACCTATCGACAGCTTATAAAATTAAGCAGTTTCTCACTGGATTTAATCAATTTATAAAACCTAAAATGCTGCTTCTGTTATTGAACTAAAAAGGACTAAAAACACGTTACAAAAAAAAAAACAAATTAAACACGCACGGCACTAAGAGTTTTCATTTCCGCTGGTTTGAATATGTATTTTTGTTTTAACTAATGAAAAGTCCATCAAACCGTCTGTGAAGATAATTTTAAAATGAAGACTTTTAGTGATCGGACTGATCAGTGATGTAAGACGGTAGACTGTCGAGCAAAAGTAACAGTGATTGAATAAATTTTAATCTAACGTTTATTTGTTCAATCAATGAAGTTGATCAAAGAGTTTCCTGGTTTATCTTCATAAGCTTCGAAGAACTGATCTTCCGCTTCATTGCAACTGAAATCTGCGGATCGGAAGAGCTGAATTAGGCCAATGCCAGTGACAAGATTTAAGGTAATAACAGAATTTGAACCAATAATATTTTACTGAACTTGATAAATTTGGCCTCTCTTTTTTTTTTATTTGCAGTTCTGTTAAAATAACAGTCTGATTAGGAGTAAAAGTAGATTTAACGAGATCAGTGTGAGCTGTTCTTAAAATAGTTACATCACGATTTGCGCAACATGAAAACTTTAGTCTAAATCTTTCAAGTTCGTCGTTTGTAATCCGTGTCAATCTCCCCCATCCTCAACCATCCTTGTTCCCGCTTTATGGTTTACGATTATC